CGATGGTCTTGATCATCACCGTCTTCTTGGTGTGCATCTCCGAGCCGCGGTGCTCGGGGCTGGTCTCTGTTGGGGGGGAGGGAGTCAGCCGGGGGCACGGGCAGGGCGGGGGCGCGGGCTGCCGTGGGGGAGCTGCCCCTCTCGCCCTGGCTCAGCCCAGACCCACCACCGTAGGCAGCTCCCACGCTGGGCATGGCTGGCCCCCCCGCCCCCCGCATGGGGGTCTGGGCAGTGGACTGGGCTCAGGGACGCCCCCGGGGAAGGGAATGGGGGCGGCCCAGCCCCTGCCCACCCCCCCAGACCCACCTCGGAAGTTGATTGCTGAGGCGAAGCTCTGGATGGGGAGGCTGATCCTGCAGCACACGGAGAAGGGACGGTCGGTGACACAGCCGCGCTGCGCCAGCCCCTGCGCCGCCCACACTGGCCCCGAGCTTGCCCCGCACGGCCCACGCCAGCCCGCCGCACCGCACATGCCCACCCACGCCAGCCCGCCGTGCCCTGCCCGACACCTGGCGCTGTCCTTCCCGCCTGGCCCTGCCCAGCCTGCCTATAAATACCCCCTGGACGGGGGGAGGGGGGCAGCTATTTAGGTGCCACTGACATCACCGTGGCTCCGCAGTGTCATGCCGGTGCGGGGGGGCAGTGACTCAGCGACATGGCAGGGAGGAGTCAGCGTGGCGCCTGTGTCAGGCCTGGGCCCTGTATCGTGGCCACCCCGTCCGTGGGGTGTGGGGGTGGTGGCGGCAGGTGGCAGGGTCGTCTGGGAGGGTCTGGGAGCCAGGGGTGGCCCCCATGGGTCCCCTCCAGGGGCTGGGGGGGGTCGCCCCATGTACCCCCAGCACCATGGGCTGGAGTCTGTCCTGGGCACCCGGGCACCCATAGGGGGCTGCACTAGCTAAAGGGGGGCGTGCTGGCTATGGGGGTCCCCCGGCCACTAGGAGCCACTCCCCCCAGCCTGTCCCTTCACCCCAGCCACACAGGGACACGGTGCCCACGGGGGCCGCGTCTGTTCCCGACACTGCTCCCCTGGGCGCGGAGCCAGCCAGACGGGGGTGATCTGTGCCCAGCCTTGTCTGCTCCCCCCGCATCGCGGCTGTTGCAGGGGTGGGCGGCTGCCCCCCTGAAGGGGTCGGAGCAGGCACATGCAGCTGCCTGCCCCGGGGGGCCTGGGCGGGGGCTGCCATTGCCCATGCCTGCAGCCGGCTTCTCGCCCCCAGCACAGCCGTTCAAGGGGGGGCCGTGATGTTAAGCAGGATACAAATAGCAGTGCCGGTCCCGATCCGGACTCCTGCCCGGCTCCCGCGCCAGCCCCAGCTGCTGCCTCATGCCCGCCACGCACCAGCCCACCACGCTGCACGTGCCAGCCCACCCCGGTCCACGCCCTCCCGCCACGCCACCCATGCCACCCCCGCCACCCACGGCAGCCCCAGCCGGTGCCCACCTGCTCTCCTCGCCCTCCAGCAGCTTGCGGTAGGTGGCGATCTCCACGTCCAGCGCCATCTTGACGTTGAGCAGGTCCTGGTACTCGCGCAGGTGCCGCGCCATTTCGTCCTTCAGGTGCCGGATCTCCTCCTCCAGCCGCGTGATGGTGTCCTGGTAGCCGCCCGCCTCGCCCGCGAACCGCTCCTCCATCTCCCGCATCTGCCGCAGCAGCGAGTCGTTCTGCCGGCACGGAGGCGCGTCAGCCCGCAGCAGCCGGGGGCGTGGGGCCACGGGGTGCGGGGGCCCGGAGAAACGGGGGTGCAGGGATGGACAACCTGCAGCAGGCATCATGTCCCCGGCCACCCAGAGCGTGGCTGGCCCCCGGCGCCAGGACTCGGTGCCCCCCACATGGTTGGGAAGACTCCCAGGGCACAGGGTGCAGCAAGGGGCAGGGAGCACCCAGGCCCCAGACCCCCGCCCCGCAGGCCGGGCCGGCGCTCACCGTGCCCTTGAGCGAGTCGATCTCGCAGGTGTAGGACTGGATCTGGTGCCTGAACTCCATCATCTCCTGCTTAGCCTGGCGCAGCGCATCGTTGTTCTTGTTGGCTGCCTGCGTCAGGTCGGACACCTGGGGGGCGGCACCAGCACGCACAGCGTTAATGGGGCCAGTGCTGCGCACCCTGTGGCCCGGGGCAGGCGGCATGGTGCCAGCTGCGTGCCCTGGGCCGGGGCAACACCCCCATAGCCAGCACGGCCCACCTTGGACTTGTACCACTCCTCGGCCTCGGAGATGTTCTTGGCGGCGATGGTCTCGTACTGGGCACGGATGTCACGCAGTGCGGCCGTCAGGTCTGGCTTGGACACGTCCATCTCCACCTGGATCTGCTGCTCCTGCATCTGTGCCTGCAGCTCCCGGATTTCCTGCACCCAGGCTGGGGTCAGTGGTGGTGTGGGGATGCAGGGCCCAGCCCAGCCCCTCAGGGGCTGGGGCCCCAACTTACCTCCTCGTGCACCTTCTTGAGGAAGGCGATCTCCTCCTGCAGCGACTCGATGCGTCTCTCCAGGTCAATGCGTGCGAGCGTGGCCGCGTCCACATCCTGCCGTGGCAGAGCCGGGCAGGGGTCAGTGGGCCCAGGGGGCGTGGCCAGGCTGAGGGTGTGGCTAAGCCTAGGGGGTGTGGCCGTGTGGGTATGGCCAGGGCAGGGGGCGTGGTCAGGGCAGGGGTGTGGTCAGGGCAGGTGTGCCCGGTGCAAGGCGCGTGACCAGGCTGGGCAGGTGCCGCATGCCCACCCCGCAGCCTCACCATGGTGGGTGGGGCACACCGCTCAGCTCTGATTGGCTAAGAAGATGCTCCTTCAAG